AAGCTCTGGGGTTCAAATCTGCCAAATCCTCATATAAACCTGCCTCCTCTTTCCAGAGTTGGGAGGCATTTAGTAACCTTTGCAGACATTTGGATTGCTTGGGTATGGGAGTTGGTCTCCAAGGGCAACAAAGCTGGAGTTTCCCCCTCTTCCCTCCTCAGTCTGTCACCTCCAACCTTCTTGTTGCACATCGCAGATTAGCAGATCTCCGTCGAGCCATCTCGGGCCTTCTGGATCAAGGTGCCTTTGCCCCAGTTCCTGTGACACGCATGATGGTCCTGCTTGTCCGCTGTTGCCAAACCCAAATGGGGCATCAATCCCATCTTGGATCTTAAAGCACTGATTGATTGTCTTCATTCAAGCTCTAAAATCCACGCATTAGTGGACATCAAGCATTCATACCTATATTGTTGTGGGACCCCTACATTACAAGTTTGTGGCTCTGCCTCTCTAGTGTTCTCAAAGGAGCTTTCCCCAGTACTAGCCCTGCTTCGCTCTCACTCTGGCCTGCCCTCCAAATGATGAGTAGTTTCAAGATCCTTCTGAACCACTGAAAGGTCTGGACAGTCAACACCACGTTGTCCAACAGAGCCTGTGCTGACTTTTCTCTCAACAGGAAATTGTCCCAAAATGCAGATACATGGACAATTTCCTGTTAGAAGAACAGTCAGTGCAGGCTCTGTTGGTCAACGTGGTGTTGGCTGCCCAGACCTTTCAGTGGATCTTAAACCTACTTATAATTTGGAAAGCAGGCCAGAGTGTTTATTCCACAGGAAAAAGTTCAGACCTTCCAATCTCAAATTCTTAGGCTCTCCAGTACAATTGAGTTGTTACAATTTGCCCAATTTCACTCCAGACCCCTACAATGCATCATTCATTTATCACGGGACAGGGCAGTCCAGTTTCTGGGCAAACCAGTTCAGTTGGCACCAAGAACCAAGTTGTCCCTGGCTTGGTGGCTCAGGAATCTGGTTCTGGAGTTCTTTGTATGTGTGTGTGTGTGTGGGGG